GGACGGCCGGGCGGCCGAGGGCTGGTCCTGTGCAGTCACCCATTTTCCGGGGCAGGAAGCTGCAGACGCCGTGTGTTTGCTCAGGGCTGGCTGCAGGAGCTGGAGGGACCTGAGGGCAGCCCAGCCCTCCTCATCCTGGGGGTGTCTGGCATTTCCCAGCTCCGAGCGTTGTGCCAGTGCTCCTTTTGTCCCTGTGCAGTATGGCCTCTATTCTTCCTTCATGGGCTGCTTTGTCTACTGCTTCCTGGGCACCGCCAAGGACGTGACGCTGGGTCCCACGGCCATCATGTCGCTGCTTGTCTCTTCTTACGCGTTCCACGAGCCTGTCTATGCCATCTTGCTCGCCTTCCTCTCCGGCTGCATCCAGCTGGCCATGGGACTCCTGCACCTCGGTGAGATGCTCTTGTCATGCGTGGTTGTATTTTTAGGATATCGCTGAACATCCTGTAGTTGCTCCCCTGCTCCCCTGTGCTCTCCGAGACGCTGGGGTTGTCCTGCTAACACTCGTGACAGCTCTGTGTGCATGCAAACACGCTGTGTTTCCCGTCGGGGCCAGCAGCGTGCTTACTGCCACCCGTCTCATGCAGGTTTCCTTCTGGATTTCATTTCCTGCCCAGTCATTAAAGGGTTTACATCGGCTGCTTCCATCACCATTAGCTTCAACCAGATCAAGGTAGGGTCTGCTGGTCTGCTCTGGATGCCTTGCCCGCTCTCTCCTGGAGCCGGCCGTGCTGTGGAGCTGGGATATTTAGTACCGGGCTGGGCGATGGGCTCAGTGTGAGAGGAAGGAGCTGCAAAGGGCGCGCAGGCCCCCCCTGCCAGTGGTTCTGGTGGGTTCCTGAGTGCTCTGTTCTGAGCAGGCCAAGCTGAATGCACCCTCTGCCTGTGACCAGCTGGTGGCATTCAGGACACCAGTAAAACCAGGACATTTGATTTGGTCACTTGCGGGAGGTGCTGGGTGATTCTTGGGCACGGTGGGTTTGCAGCTCCACTGGTCCCTTGCTGGCCTCTCAGGGGCCTGAGGCCCTCCGGCTCTTCTGGGGCTGCAATGCTTCCTTTGTGGTTAACCAAAATCAGAGACTCAGGGGAATGGTGTCAGGCTGTGCAAGGAACCAGCAGGCCAGTGTTGGCTAACGAC